TACACTCAAATTTGGTTTTGTCGGCAATATTTAACTTACCATTTACTTTGTTATAAAGGTCTGCCTAGGAAGAAGTGAATTTGTTTCCAAAAGATGTTCTACACACTTTATTAACGGGACAATATCCCGCCGTTTAGATCGGTGAGAGTATCTATGGTGAGATGCTCGGCATTCACTGATGTCTGGCAGCTCTGAATGCTGTGTCAGGGTGATATTTACTTTATATTAACTAAGGAGGAGATTTACCTATATGTGGAACGAAAGAAAGACTATTTTCCGCCATTACTCCCAAGTATTTTGTGCTGTCAGTCCTTGATAACAAAGGGCATTCGCAAGGGCACGGTATAGGGTAAGAAAGGGTATTGTCGGTCACTTAAGGAAAGATCATCACCGACTAGCAAACAATCAACATTTATTTACTAAACTCGTCATATACAAAACTTTAGTTATTCTTCTAAGATATTCACAGTCATTGAGATCAATAGTCAAAGAAAATTTGGCTTAATCAACATTAAAAAATATATATATTTGACCAGTGTTAAACACCTGGAGGGGTAATGGCGGTCGCCATGTTTGTAACACCGGTCAAATTGTACTTAGGCATAAATCACATATGTAGCTATCAGGAGTCAAATCCTTAGCATTCAGCGTGAGCCCAAAGACTACATAACACACATCTAAACCAAAGCTCATTATGACGTCCATAGTCATAGCAGATAATACACTTGTGCTCAGAGTCCCCTTCAACATCAGTATCATCATCTTCACGCAGGTCTGCCATATCGATATTGAGTTAGATGATATCATTAATATATTTGTCTTGTAAATACAGAGAGTATTTACCTTTCTTTGTCTTTACCTTTCTTACGTTGGGCGGATATTTTCTTTTCTTTCTTTACTAATTTTTAATTTTACTTCCAGATTCTTTTTTATTTTCTTTTGCAGCTCTCTTATTTTCTTTCTGAATAAGAGCTTCTTTAATCGGGGTTCCTGTTATAACCGTTGCATGCTGTTTCCGAGATACGACTGCTTTCTTATCTATTATTTATATTTCTTAAGTAGCTGTGGTCTATCACTATTCTTGTTTTTTCAGTCTTTCTTGGAGGGTTGAAAATGGCACGCCGGTAGACCGCAATGCTTCCCTTATCGGTTTTCCTTCTTCACTAGTTGAAAAGCTTTAACTAAATCATTTTGGCTCCATTTTATTTTTGAATGTACTTTATTCCGCATTGTCGACATTCTGAAACAATAACAATCAACTACATAACAAAATATTCTTAAGAAAATAATTACCTTTTTATGATGACAATAAACGGGCAACATCAATCAACATGACCGGCATTACCTTCTCTTCTATATTTCGGAATAAATATTTTTTTACCAAATACCATTAGCAATGTGTTTAAAATCTATGATAAATGAGACGACGAATAACTAAGCAAGTTGAGTGTGTGCGTTATTATAATACTCACTTCTTATATTTAGATGCTGAAAAATAGTAATGATTTGGCGCGAAAACAAAAGACATTCCTTCTTCCCAAACGCTACTTTGGAACTGAGCGGGGGTTGATTTTCTTGCGCGGGTGAAGATCGCTCCACTCGCTTTGTATATCGCGGAAGATATTGTGGTGACCGGCGTTATCACCTGACTGCCACTACCCGCTTTTACCTGCCACAGCTTGTGGGCTGTAAATACAGCTGTACATACAGCTCTATGTGGTGCAGGATGGTATTAGTAATTGAAAATGCTATATATTTAAATTTTTTATTGAATTTGTATTCAATTATTTTTTGTGAAATTACTCCACTAATTTGTTATAATTATTAATACGAAGATCGAACACTCAGAAAAAATTCCTTCGATCCGGCCGGATTCGAACCGACGTCTTCTAGCATACCGTGCCAGAGGCTATACCGCAACTAAGCCACGGAACGAACCAGCGGACTTCACGAATTTTTCTATGTGCTTTTTGTCATGTCTTTGTATTTGGTTTTTCAACGACTTTTTAGTCGTAGCGCTATCTATGAGAAATCTATGAAAGTTTTATCACCCAGTTAGATACCTTTACATATATGCTATATATTTTGTTTTGTCAACATAGGGTTAAGACATTTTGACTTAACCAGTATAGAACTCTATTAAAACCTTCCTGAGCACTTCTATAAAACCCGCTCCAGTTATCAGACGAAAAAACAAGTGCAGTATCATATGCAAATGCAAACAATCGTCTCCCCTCCAAACCTATGTTAAACAAATCGTTAATGTAGATGAGGTAAAGTGTGGGACCAAGAACACTTCCCTGAGGGACACCATACTCTATGGGAATATCATCACTGACCTGTCGTTTGTAGAACTGCCGGACCGAAAGCCATAGTGGTTTGCCGACAATATACTGTTTTGCTCTAAAAAGACGACTATTTATTAATTTTTCTAGGACTTTAGAAAGAGTTGTCCGGACGGATATTGGGCGATAATTACTTACACAGTCTCTATTCCCAGACTTACACACCGGATGCACTAATGCTTTCTTAAAATCGTTTGGAAACAAACCATTTGAAAGACAAAGGTTAAATATATAAGTGATTGGTGAGATTAAAATATGAATGTATTTTTTTAGTAACAGTGCAGATGTCGTCTGTGCTAACAGCACAATTATCCCGCAAATCACTTACAATTCTTTCCACTTCAGACTCATCAGCATCCAAAAATCACAAAGTTACAGGTACCTCGAGATGCAGTCGGTGTATAGTTTGGACTACGTTGGACCTGGACCTTACTTGCGAAATTTCGGCCAATGTCAGCAAAATATTTATTAACATTGTTCATTGCATCTCTCTTGTTTATGTCTCGAGTAAGCAGTTCTGTCGCTGGTGAGTTGGATCTAGATGTACCGGTGATATCAGTAATAGAATTCTATAACTTTTTGGTATTAGTTCCCGCCTCTACAATCTTTTGTCTTTCACATTGTCGTTTTAACTTCCTCGGTATATCATTACAGTATTCCGATAACATTATTAGTAGAACTTCTTGACCTCATATGCATACGATGCCTGTTACGCAAGCAGCGTAATAAACCAGGAGTGAGCCAAGGCTTTTTATTTTGAATCGATGCAGGACTGTCTAAATTGTAGTGTTATTTAAAATTACTCGATGTATAGCGTTTAGAAAAAATGTTAAAGCCCTATTTTTTATATTATTTTATCCAAGTCTTGTGATAAACTAGGGTACGATATATTACTTAGAGCCTTATGAGAGTATTTAATTTTTTGTTTATTAAGATGAGAGAAGCATGACTGCGTAATGGTCTGTAATTGTAGATTTATTGCCGAAGTAGTAGCGTCAAGTTGAGTTTTAATATAACACGATCAATTGACGATCCATATCTAGTGTGGCTTATCAAGGTGTGTCCAGGTAGCCGACCATGACTTGCAATCAAATTTAAGTATGATGATATATGCTCGTTTACATCAGCATCAATAGCTGTATTAATGTTTATGTCACCAATGATCGATACGTTTTTAAAGGTTGATAGCGTCTGGAGCACTTTATCGAGAGAACCTGTAAACCCTGAAATGTCTCGGAAACAGGGAGGACGATAGATTGCCAGCAGAACTGAGTCATCATTTATTTTTATAAGCAGACAATAAGATTCATGTAGGTTCAGATATAATAATATTACCTATTGACCTTATTCATTCCGGAAACTTATAGTGCGCCTCACGTAAATTGGTCGAGCAAGATATGACTTTTCTACTACCCAACTCTCTGGTACTATCGTGTTTGGGCTCAAGGAATTGGTCTCAACGGGTATTTGTTGGCCTACAGCTGGTGACTTTATTCCATTTTGGGGCTTTTTTAAGTTTTATTTTTTATGTGTATTGTTATAAAATATACAAGCTTCCAATTAAACAATGCAATGTAATTAAGACAGCGTTGCTACCGTAACTCTACAGAAATTAATTAATTATTATATTTACCGCGTATAATGGTTACCGCCCACAATTTTCGGCAGAACGGGTGTTTTGGATAAAAAATGTTTTTAAAACTCTGGCGGGCAGATTGGGTTTTACTCCAACGACCGTCTCTGCACCTGACGACGGGTCCGCGATATTGTTATTAATCGATTTTAGGCTTTTTGTTGGTCAATCGCAACTGGCGCTGAGAAGGTGGCGGCAACTACTCTTTTCTGAGGTACAGAACTTACAACGTAATTGAACGGCATGCAATTATTTTAGTATCAATTTCACATCACACGAGTAAAGTAAAAATTTGACAGCTCTAAACTAAAATTCACTGTTCTCGTCTTATTTATACCGAAAGACACAGATCCATTAAACATGAATTAAGTGTGTTTACCCGAACGACATGCGACTGTGGGTACTATAAATAAATTTGCACTCGATGATCGGTAATCACTAACGTGGTAGAAAACACGGCGTGCAGCGCGCCATCTTCCTATTGGATATTGGACTTTTACCTCACCATGTCCGCTACTCACGGCCGTTCGGTGCGGGCGGGCGTGACAGCCGGCTGACACGAGCCTTGGTGACAAAGGGTCTCACTAGAGTGCGTTGGTGAGGTTTAATTTAACTATGTCAAACACATTTCATCTTTATAATATTCTATATGATTCTATACGATAATATTCGTAAATACACTATCTTCAGTAGACATATTAGGTGAGATACTAACGCATGACGTGATATTCAACGTTCAAATCGAACATACTACTTTCTTATTCCAACATTTCTCCACAAATGTAACAAATTTATATATCTAGTAGTTTAAGAACTATATAGGTACTAAGTTGTCAGAGTTATTTGCATTACAATTTAAAAAATGCTACATATTAAGTGTCATTTTATTTCAAATGTATTATGATAATCAGTTAGAGGTTCTTTACATGGTCCCCGTGAAAGCAAACTCATTAACAAACATGTTTATTGATATTTGTCGAAAGATTTGTCGACGGCAGGCTTTGGGAAAAAAAAAGGAAAAGTTAAAATGCAATCCATTTATACACACAATATGAATCTGAGCGTAAGTATCTAGGGCGGGCGCGAATCGGGCGTGGGCTGCGCGGCGGGTGCCTCGGCGCGTTCCTTGGGGTCGAGCAGCGTACGGTACTCGGGCGGGTTGCCCCAAGGGTCGTAGCCCAGCACCGACAGCATCGGAGCCAGCTCCGCCATATCGGCGCGCACGTCCGCCGGGATCTGCCCCACCCACTTGTCCAGCGCGTCCAGGTTCACCGGCCGCACCACTTGGTCCGACGAGCGCTCCACGCTGCAACGACACGAGCTCGGATGAGCGAGCGGGGGCTCGGGCCCGGGGGCGAGGGGCGAGGGGCGAGGGGCGATACTCACTTGGAGAGCGCCACGCCGTGCGGCTGGTTGATGTACCGCTCGTGGTGCAGCACGGCGTCGTCCCAGCGCAGGTCCAGAAAGGCGAGCACGCGCCGCAGCGTAGCGGCCGGCGCCAGCACCAGCGCCTCGTAGCGCACCATCATGCAGCGGTCTTTGCCTATCGCCTTGCATTGCTGATACATGAGTTCCGCCGCGTGGTTCCACTTGGTGAGGCATTGGCGGTAGCTTGTTAAATCGAACCCGGTGATCGTAACCTAAAAACAATAGCTGTTAAGATACGTCCGGAGGTTAGATTAGATTAGATTAGATTAATGTTTATTTGCCAGAAGAGGCGAGGTCGCATCTGGCGCACCGTTTGAGCGAGTACAATTTACCTTCCGCGATATGATGGAGTGCACGGTGGCCCGGCCGTCGCGGACCATGAACAGGAATTTCGCGTTGGGAAACAGCTCGAGCACGTAGGTGCCCATCTTGAGTACGAGCGGGTCCTTGTTGCACAGCCGCGGTGCCGGTTCGCCGTGGCGCACTATCACTTCCAAGCAGAAGGCTGCAATCGCATTGTCGAGCACGGTTTTGGAGACGCCCGCCTGCTCCAGCCGCACCACTTCTTTCTGAGAGCGCATCCAGTGCTGGCGCATCTGCAGGATGCGCGGCACCACGCGTGTCTCCTGCCCGCAACGCACATCCGGGTGCGCGTCTAGCATAGCGCGCATCAAGGTGGTGCCGGAGCGCGGGACGCCGCCTATGAAGATGAGCGGCAGGTCGCGGCCCGTGACCTCATCGCCCATCTGCAGGGCGCCCCCTGGGCCGCCCCCGCTCCCTCCCGTCATCCGCCGCACCGCGCCCAACAGCAGCGCGGCCCCCGCCAGCGCCACCAGCGCGCGCCAGCGAGCGCCGCGCCACATGCCGTCTGCCCGCTGCCTGCGCATGTAATTTCACGTTATCTCTTTATAAGGCTTTCCATTATTTCCTTACATAAATGTAAGGCAGGTGAACGTACTTAATTTGCAATTATAGGCATTTGTGATTATAACGATAATGGCCCAAGCAGGTATTACAATTAACTAAAATAGTTGCTAGTAACCCTAAGAACTGAACATACAATACTTTATTTAATTTACTTTCACCATGCTTTAGGACGCCTTCACATCGGACGCTTGCAGCTGCGTCGCTATTATTTTTCATACAATATTTAGAAGCGCAGCTGTAGCGCCACAGTCGCGTCACTCGCATGCCATTTTTGCAAACTATTGTATGAAAAGTGGTGCGACTGCAGCGCCACAGGTGCGCCACTCCAGCGCTCTTCAGAACGCCCTGAGATGCTAAAAGTGTGTTGAGGTTTCAAAATTGTGCAAAATACTTAATGAGTCAAATAATCGTGAAATACACCCTAGTACCTAATGTTTAGAATCAAGCTCAATAAAAATTCACTATAATTAATATTTTTACTAACATTGAAAAAGGTTCCCAACAGAACGCATCCTCTCTTATCCAAATTAAGGGCTATATTACACATCACAGGATATTCTTGAACAGAAATGTCTTGCATCTTACAAATATGTCCATACACTTAATAAATTTTTTAATAGTTTTGTTTGTAGAATTTCGTATAAAAATTTGTATTTAATTTTGTGATAGATCTACTAATAGGTTTTCAGGACACAATATAATATTGATAGTGTAATATTGACCTAATTCATATGGTCCATGGCCCACATTCCTATTATATTGCATGCTGTTATAGCGTTAATTTATTTCATTATTAATTAATTAATCAATCTCAGAGCAACGTGCATCATAGTATGATATGGGCCACACACCCAGTATTGGCTTAGGAAAACAAAGACAAAACACAATAACAATGATGAAAATGCAATGAAAAGAGTGCACATGTTGAAGTCAAGAAGTAATAAAATCAAAGAATTGCCTATGATAGGTAACACGTGGCGCTGTGAATAGTAGCAGGCTCGTACCTGATTTTGTTTTGAACAACAACACAGAGCCTCTGAGAAAACTTAGGATTGCACACCTCCAATAATGTGATTGTCAGTTCATCATACACTAGTTGAGACTTTTCTGTAAATATTGTTGCCTATCAGAGCTACCTATCATAGCTTTAGTTTTCCTATATGATTTAAAGAAATTTCAGCTGGAATTACAACAATTGGCATATTTGTTTGTGTCATACTAAGTTCTAGGTTAACTGCTTTATGGATCTGCGCAAAGTTGTGGAGAACTACTGAAATTATAACCCAGGGTTATTTAATTTCCATGGTGCCCTTGGAAGAGAAAAAGAAAGATGCTACTGGCTCATACAAAAAAATCTTTAAGCCCACTGCAAATGAAACATCTTAAATTATTTGCTGTAGTAAGTCTGAATGGTAAATATACAATTATATATAGTGTATGTAGTACAAAAAAGGAAAACAAGCCATTATACTAAAATGTCCCTTGCTGTCATATTTGATGTTTTTGAAGAAAGGTACCTTAGTTTAGGTATGAGTCCCATGCAAAAGGCAATTTTTTAAATGCCGACTCTTACTACTACACTTAATCTCCTGAATGTTTCATTTCCACACAGTTTGGGCAGTCTAGAGCATTCCCCTTTACTTGAATAAAACATAATCACAACTTACAACGGGTTAAGCAGTGTTGCTACAATAAAACTGATCCTGGAACAATTTGTAAGGAAAAATAGTATGAGACACTCTTGTTATACACTGTTTAAATAAGGACTTCCACTGAACGGTGAATCCTGGCTCACCGGTCAGCAGGTGGCGTTTGACGAGGCCGCGCTTGTCTGCAGTTACAATATGTGAAGCTCTAAAAATTCCTACTTATATTCTATAACACACTCGTGAATTACCCTCGATTAGTACTACGTTACTAACATAGTACAGTCTAAGTTGGTGACACAAAAATTTACGAGGAATTATATTATAACCCTTTTTACTCACCTACATGAAAAATCTTATATACAGTTTTCAAAAAAATGTCTTTTCCGCCTGCCAACACATCGGTTTGCATAAAAATAAGTATATATATTTTAACACCTTCACGAATGCTTGGAGACTCTACCTAAAGACACAATTTACAGTAACTTTATTCTCACAATTACTTTAAGGAATCCTCGACATACATCAAATATTATATTGATCCAAATAAATAATACAAACGTAATTCAACAAATAAATTACAGTTTCGTTTCGTTCGTTCTCCAAATTAAAATGTCAATGTCATTCAGTTGTCAAATAAATAGTCGTAAAATTTTTCGTCCATCGAGACAGGCTAAGGCGTCTAAGCCATACTGCCAGATTGTCCAACGTCACCATTAAAAAAATACTTCAATCGTCGCTCAAATCTAATCCAAATTAGTGTAAATAATTATGAAATAATCATTTTCTCTGAAACTTATAATCGTGTGTTACTATTACCTGACCCTACGACATTTTTCGACCAATGACGCTTTTTTTAATTTACCAATCGGCAATCGATATACCTCACCACAGACATATATTTAGATCAGCGTTTCCCAAAGTGGGTGCCATCGCCCATTTTGGGAAACGAAAGAGGCCCAGAAAAAAAGGGGACGTTGTGTAGAGGCTTAGGGGGAGATTTGTAATTTCATCAAACAAGAAGCAATTACTTTTAATACTTTTTACTTTTAATTATTAATTGAGAACAACGAACCACATTCCAGAGAGATAACAATAGATCGGAAGCGCATCGTTGTTGCAAATTTATAATATTGTAATAATTTAAATCTAAGGCAGTGAATACGACTTTTTACGTATTCTACGTGACTTGCTATGAAGAATTGTTGCATTATTATCACCGTAAAACATGGCTACCACAAAAGAGCAACTACAATTAATCTCCGTGTTGGAAGATGGTGCAAATTTATTGCAAAAAACACAAATTCACTTGAAAAAGTGTCATAAGGCGCGATTAACCAAAAGATAAATATAAGCACGCTTAAAAATTATTGAAGAATATTGGACAACATTCAAAAATGCACACGACGAGTTAGTGAAAATAACACCTAAGGAACAAAAGGGAATTCCCTTGCCGTATTTTTTGAAAGAAGAATTCTTTGTTTATGAGGACTTGTATAATGTATTGCAAGGTGACTTAAAAGACATGCTCACAATCACGCCAAAAGTGCCGTACAGTACACCAAGCAATTTACATTTACCGAAAATTATATTACCCAAGTTTAGCGGTGATTATGAAGGATGGCCGACTTTCGAGGACTTGTTTACATCATTGGTGGAAGATAAACAATGTATTTTAAAAAAAGAATTTATTCCACTGAAATTTGTATCAGCTGACAAAACGAACATCTGTGAGGAAACTTTATGTACCACTGTAATAAAACAACATATAAATTTGCCATATAAACTGGGGTATTAGGTAGAAGAAGAAACTATAACATAGCGCTGATAACAAAAATCAAAACTACTGCGGCTAGTAGACAGTACAAATAAAGGGCTTCATATCTATACTATAATAGTTTAAACAGAGAACTGGATCTACACAAGAAAATAGTTCGTGAATGCAAGTTAGCAATACAAAATGGCTCGAAACTAAGTCATATGAGGAGATTGAGCAATTATTATTACAAGTTTGAAATATATGTATAAATAAATTAACAAGTAAACGTTAAATTTATACTACATCAGTACATAATATATATAATGTAAGTAAATAATATAAATATACACAAATCGAAATTTAATTTATATATTGTTTATATAAACTTATAATACAACTGTTATTTTAGTAACTTCTTATATATGAGACAAGTAATTGAAATGATACTATCTAAAATGGTATGACAATGTATAAATTTGGATATTGTACGTCTGTCGGATGGATGACACATATGTACACATTCACACATTCCACACAATTACACACCTACAGATACATAGACACATATATGCACTCACTCACACACACTAACAATTAGGTTAATCTATTTTTTAGTCTGAAAAGTTAAAAATTACTGTAATTAGTGAAATTTGTATTAGTTGTAACACCAGTATACCTTCTCTACTAAAAACATAATTGTTTTATCCATAGATTTAGTATATCCATAGATTGGCCCTGAAGTATTAGAGACGAAAACAAAAGTACATCTGTGTGCGTAGAATGTGCATGTGTGCGTAGAATGTGCATGTGTGCAAGATAAATAGTGTTGCGCCATCCACTGATTTAACTTTAATATCGATTAACATATTACACCGGCATTTCACTTCATCGTATTCACCAAAATGTCTTATCCCAAAACGCCGAGACGTTCATTACCGAATTAATTAATGATTCAATACAAAATTAAGAAAGCTACTATCACCTTCTGGCAGTGCCATAGGATGGTAGGTAAACAATGGGGACTTTCACCCAAGATAACATTATGGCTCTACAAAACGGTGATAAGACCCACGATCAGTTACGGCTCGACAGTATGGTGGCCACGAACCAAGCTGACGACCGCAACCGACAAGCTGAACAAATTCCAAAGACTAGCCTGCATGGCGACGGTTGGGTGCATGAGGACAACTCCAACTGCGGCCCTCGAAGCGATGCTGGATCTGCGACCCCTCTCACGTTACAGCACTAACGTTATCTTGAAGCGAAGGAAGTCTTTCTAGATTTTTTATCACTTCACTCAATTTTACCACTTTGGCCATAGCCCGTTTTTTTGTGCCCTTACATTTTTCAGGTTTTTCTTTTCGTATCTAGGCGGCTGTTAAGAAGATCAATAGTTTTCTTAATTTTTTTCTTCCTCGGGGATATATCTTGATCGAGATAGTTTGCTATAGAGCTACTGGGTACTGGCGAGATATCTCTGTACACATATGAAGATACCTTGCGTCTTGGCTTCAGTGTAACCTACAAACAAATATAACTATTATAATTATTGTATGATATGATGACATAGAAGTGCATCAAAGCAGTCAATTTGCAGATAAGTAATAGAACCAAAAAACTGGACAAGTGCGAGTTAAACTCATGCTGAGAGGTTTCCGTACAAACTTACCATTGTCGTTGAAGAATATGTTCTCCAATAGATTCCAACAGCAAATATAGGTTCATTCGCACAATAGTGAGAAATTTAAAGACAATTTATGTATTTTTTTCAAAACTTTAGGCTCAGTAGTTTCGAAGTTAAAGGGGAGAATGATCAATTTTCGTCTATTTTCTTAAACAACTTAAAAATATTTATATTTCAAAATTACG